AGTTTGGAACCCAGAAATCCCAAATCCCAGCCTGGCTTGAAGAATCCAAAGTAATTTGGAACCCAGAAATCCCAAATCCCAGCCTGGCTTGGAGCTGGTGAAACAATTCCCATTCTTTGTGCTCCCTCAAATCCAGGAACTTTCCCTCCAACCCCCTTCCCTACCACGTCTCCTCCCCGCCCCGGTGCCCTTGCAGGGATTTTCAAGGCCCAATTAGCTCTTTATTTTAATATTAATCATTAATTATCTAATTATCCATGATCTCCTGCAGCTCCCTGAGCGCTCCGGGCTTTCCATTGGAATTCTGGTGGATTTTTATGAGGTTTCCTTTGGTTTTTCGTGGATTTCCAGTGGTAGTTTCTGGTTTCTCCTCTCTCCCAGGATCCATTACAACGTCTTCTACTGCTTGTACCTGATGGAAAACTCCTCTGGAACCGTTGGGAATGTGGAAGAGGAAACGTTGGCTTCGCGCTGCAGGCAGGACTTGTGGTCCAGGTGAGGTTTTTCCAGGTGATCCAAGCGGTTCCCCGGGGTCCTGAGGGAATGCTGAGCGATCCAGGGAATGTTGGGGACAGTGCAACTCCTTATCCTGCTCCTTGCCTCCTGAATTCCCAGAGGAAAACCAGAATCTGGGGCCTTAAATCTGGAAAAATCGGATTACTGGGCACAGACTGAGTTTAAATTCACTGAGGAGTCTGTCATGGAATCATGGAATGGTTTGGAAGGGACCTTAAGGATAAACTAATTCCAAACCCCTGCTGTAGGTAGAGACACCTTCCGCTATCCCAGGTTGCTCCAGCCCGGCCTTGGACACTTCCAGGGATCCAGGGGCAGCCACAGCTTCTCTGGGAAATCCATTCCACCCCCTCTCCACCCTCCCAGCCAGGAATTCCTTCCCAATATCCCATCTCTCCCTGCCCTCTGGCACTGGGAAGCCATTCCCTGTGTCCTGTCCCTCCATCCCTTGTCCCCAGTCCCTCTCCAGCTCTCCTGGAGCCCCTTTAGGCCCTGCAAGGGGCTCTCAGCTCTCCCTGGAGCCTTCTCTTCTCCAGGCTGAACATTCCCAACTCTCCCAGCCTGGCTCCAGAGCAGAGGGGCTCCAGAATCATGGAATCCTAGGATCGTCTGGGTGGGAAAGGACTTTAAAAACCTCCAGTGCCACCCCTGCCATGGGCAGGGACATCTTCCGCTATCCCAGGTTACTCCAACCCTTGGACACTTCCAGAGATCCAGGGGCAGCCACAGCTTCTCTGGGAAATCCACTCCAGTCCCTCCCCACCCTCCCAGCCAGCAATTCCTTCCCAATATCCCATCCATCCCTGCCCTCTGGCACTGGGAAGCCATTCCCTGTGTCCTGTCGCTCCATCCCTTGTCCCCAGTCCCTCTCCAGCTCTCCTGGAGCCCCTTTAGGCCCTGCAAGGGGCTCTCAGCTCCCCCTGGAACCTTCTCTTCTCCAGGAGAACATTCCCAGCTCTCCCAGCCTGGCTCCACCTCCCGGATCAGTGGAACACAGTTCTGTGCATTCACAGAGTCCAAATCCCCCCAAAACACCCTCCCAGATCACCCCTTTCCCTATGGATAAGGAGCTCTGGAAGGAGGGAAGTCCCTGCTGGAATTTTAAGACACGAAGTTCAGGCAGCCCAAGCAGGGGTTGGGTTGTTGCTGATGCTCCCACAGCCCAAAAAAATGTAGATTTTCCCTTTTGAACACCAGGAAAGAAACAAGGGACCGGGATATTGGTTCCACTATTGTTTTCTGGATCCTGCAGGAGAAGTGTTAATGCTAACACTGATTTATTTGCTTGCTTGGATATAATTTATATTTTTATTGTTTCTTTTTGTTATTATTTTAATCTTTATTTTATTGTATTTTTATATTTATTTTATTATATTATATTTATAGTATATTACATTATATTATATTATGTATATTTATTATATTATATTTATATCATATTGCGTTATATTACATTGTGTATATTATATAATATATATATTATATTACACATTATATACTATATATATTATATACTTTATATTTATTTTATATATTAATAAATATTTATTATATATATTGATATATTTATATCTCTTAATTTTAGATATGATATAATTTATAATTATATGTAATTTATATATTTATACATATAGAGAGAGATAAAAATGTACTGATCTATATGTTAAATATTAATATTTTCTGCTACTTGCTGCCTAGAAAAGGACATATATATAATAATATGTTTTATATATACATATATATAATATAATACATATAATATTATACAATATATAATATAATATATATTATGTAATATATTATATATATATTATATAGTTATTGATCTATATGTTATTGATCTATATGTTAAATATTAATATTTTTTGCTACTTGCTACCTAGAAAAGAAGGACATATATATAATATATATTATATATACATAGATATAATACATATCAGATACATATATAATATATATGCTACAATATATATTATATTATATATTTTATATTATATATTATATATATTAAATTATATACTTTATATTTATTTTATATATTAATAAATATTTTATATATTGATATATTTATATCTATTTTAATTTTAGACATGATATAATTTATAATTATATGTGATTTATATACATGGATATATAGATAAAAATTTCTTGATCTGTATGTTAAATATTAATATTTTTTGCTACTTGCTGCCTGGAAAAGAAGGACAACAAGGAATGAAACCCTTCCCTGGCCTGTGGAGATC